CAGCAGGACAAACTGGGATGTGTAAGCTGTACACTCCACATCTCCAAATTACAACCCGAGACTGCAGCCTCCCTGGGATGCCCTTCTCTGCCCTGTCCTATAGCCCCTTCTAGCTTTCTTCTGTCAGCCAGGATTTGCAACTTCCACTCCACAGAGAGAACATGCTTTGTTTTCAGTAAATACAATAACTAGATGAATACAACTGAAAATACATGAGTCATATCTATGTCATACTTGAATAAGGCGGAGTCCGCCCTAGCAATCTTCTCGAGGCAGTAAGAAAGGATCAGCAGCGTGCAGCAGCTGCTGCTGGGACTCCTTACGCAGCCAGCTTTTGAGGGGTACAAGGTTTATTTCTGATTCAGCCCTGTGTGGTCCAGCAACACATCTCTCCACTGAACACACAGCTTGAGACTTCCTTAAGTGAGCAGAAGCCAAGAAAAAGCAAGAGAAACACAAATTACTACTTTGACCTTGACTCCTATCTTGGCTTATCATTGTTACTCTGAAAATGAAAGTCACAAGGCTTAAGATCTAAACAAATAAAATACAAACTTTTATTGCCCTAGTTCTGACCTGTCATACCGTGGGCAACTTTCATAAACAACTGAAATTTGCTACATACACCATTCAAGAACTAGTTAAAATAAAAATAGAACCATGTAAAGCCTGCAGCCTTTGTATTTTATTTTTTTTTAACCTAAAAAGCTTTGTCTGTGCTATTAGCAATTAGCACACGGAATTAAAACTTTGGGGCATAAACTATAATGCAGTAATAGACCTTCTGTCTGCTTATTCCAATAAAAAAAAAAGAAGACATTTTCTTAGTTTGAAATATGTTCTTGCCTCTGGGGGAGGAAAAGCAAACAAAAAAACCACATAAACAAAACGCACAAAACCCACCGACAGTGCCCCCCAGGGAAGGGGAGGGGGCGCAAACAGAGCACCCCAGTGCTTCAGGAATGCTAAGCTCAAGAAAAGGCACCCAGTATGTTTGGAAAAGTCCAAAATTCAATGCCCAGTGTTCTGCAAAATGGAAGCATATAGGGATAAATCTTCAGGGGGTATATTTAAATGATCACTCACCAAGTTTTAAAAAAAGCTCCAAAGTTCAGAAATACAAACTTATCCTCCAAAAAACAACTATGAGAACTTAAGGCTAAGTAGAATACTAATACTTGGCACTCCTGAAAGAGATTTCAGAAGTTGAGTTTAAAGCGAACAATTTTAAAAACGATTTTATTTCAAGGAAGTCAATGCTCTCAGTGGACTTCCAGAAGACAATAAACACGACAGCAAAACCTAAATCCACTGCTACTTTCAGAGGAGTGTTCTGATACAGTGAGTTCTTCTTCGCATTGTTTTCTTCACCCTAGGAAATCTCCTTATCATATATCCCAAAGCAACTTAACAGCTTTTTCCATTTGGATATTAACTTATGCTCTTATAAAAGGAGAAGGCTCAGCATCCCACCTCGTGGAATTAATTTTAGATTTAACCACAAACATACAGGATAGGGCTGTGGTGGAGGTGAGTTATATTTTAGGTACACAGAGAGAGATGTCTTTTATACCCTAAATCCCTACAGAATCACCTTGCCAAAACAAACAAACAAACAAAATACAACTCAAATCTTGCTTGGAATAAAGACAAATTACTTAGTTATTGTTCTTCCCACCAACCAAAGAGCTTTGCATTTCCAGCAAAGGTTGTAAGGATTTAAATTTTAAAGTACATGAAAGCATATTTTGTGCAGATACGAAGAATGCATTTTTTCCTTGACCTTCCCATAACCATTTTATAAGCAAAGTTCAGAAGTCAGCAAGAAAACACATTCATTTTGTCCTACACACGCATAATAATCTCACAGTCACGGCAGATACAAACACTGTGGAAAGCATGAAGGTTATTGCAAGAACCTGCATTCAGATGACATCATTCAACTACCTGCTCAAATATTCTGCCTCACACGACAGCTACACAACAGTCCCAGATGATGGCAAGCTCCACCAAACAGAGCTGTGGAAGATTTCAGGAGTTAATCTGCAGAGCTGGAAGGGAGAGGATAAGAACTTAAGAGGGAATTCTGCTTCATCCCTTCCTAAATAGGAGAAACTGGTCCAGAGCAGCAATTCTGCTGCATTTGCATTTCAGTAACAATTCTTTGAGTCTGTGGAACGTACTGTGGAGTCTTCCCTCCGTATCAGAGAAAACCAGCCTGCTTCAGCTGTCTCCTCCAACCTTATCTGTGAAGATAAAGAAACCTAATCGCTTACCTGCTGTTCCCTTTCATACACTGAGTCAATATCCATTTCCGCTTGTTATTGCATCTTCTTCCCTCAAATAATTTCTCCATTTTGGTCCAAATTTGGCATGAATACACGCCTTCTCCAGAATGAGGGACTCCAGCACACAAATACTGAGAAGCTATGATTTAAGCTAGTACTTAATGAATATGTATTTCACCTACAACATGTGATTGCCGTCTCCCTTTTCTGGGAATGTAAAGCATTGTCAGCAAAACAATTACAACAGTTCTTTGAGAAATCATTCCCAGGTAGTACGTAATACCCCCTTTACTCTACAAAACACAGCTACCCTTGGTTTGTTAATAAAATTGTTTAATGCTAAAATCATACAAGATCTCACCTCAGCAAAGTAAGACTTCTTCCACATGTGATGTGCTCTGTCCCAAATGTCTAGTATGAATACAAACTGAGAAATATTTATAGCTCATACTGACTTTTTGTTCAGCACAAACTTCAGATTTACAGCAAGATTCTGGGTCAGATTCATTCCAAACGTAAACTAATATTATTCAATCCATTTACAAGGATGAATGAGGTTTATTATTACTGAGCTATGGCCCCTTTTCTCTGTGGCAAGCTGCCAACAGGGTTTAAAATCCAAACAAAAATACACCCTTAACCTAAAGGCAGCATTGACTGCATACAGACTATTCAACCGCCTGCACCAGGGCTCTCTGGGGGGCTGCCAGGGGCCAGGCCAAGGACATGTGCTTAAAAAAGGTGCTGCTCTCCAGTACCTCTGCTGCATTTCATCCACACTTCCCTGTTCATGTCCCCTTTTTCTAAAGTTTTCCAGCAGGCTCGCATCAGACCAACTCTCCCTTCAACTACCTCAGACTCTCTCTTCCTCAAAGTTTAGCCCGCGGCTCCTGTAGAGGTGTCCACGCGAGCAGGAAGGCCGTCCATTACAGTCAGCGGGTCTGAGTGCTTTCTACTCTCAGACCACTGACTTCAATTAACTTCTTTCCATGCAGTGAACTGAGTTACCAGAATTAAAGCAAATTTACATTTATTAGTATTTGGACTTCCCTTTCTGGGCTTCAAAAGAAAATAAATACAGTACAAGCAAAGTTAACTTTTTTCTTTCATTTTTAGCTGCAAATACAATTTGAGTAGCAATGACTCATTTGAACTCCTCCTAATAAAGTGGTCTTTATCCAATTATATTAGCCTATCAAGCCAAAGGCGTTTATATTTCTAAACATAGGCCAAGGCCACACAAGGTACTTCAGCCCTGAGGCTATGTTAATGGTTTGGTGAAAGCCATTAATGACAGCCTACAAGATTCCCCTACAGTTTAAGCTCATTTGTTTGCTATGTGCCAGGGGCAGAATTTGACCTTACCAAAAAGGCTTTATGAGCACTTTGAACCTTTCATTCCACAATTTAATTTAATGAATAAGCTGGTTTGAAAGACAGGCTGTAATTTGAGGTTAAAATCCTTCAGAAGTAAAGTCATAACGGCATTTTTCAGTCTGGACCAAATTCGCCTAACTTTGTTATACAACACCGAGGACTGGGATAAAATGGCAGCGTGGATAAACTGTAACAGCAGCGCCAGGGCATCACCAGAATAGACGACACACAAAATGTGCCTGTGCCAGGCGTTGTGGGTTTTGTTTTTCCCACCAATAGTTTCAGAAACATGGGCAACTGCTACAGTTCTCAGTCATTTCTTTCAGTGCGGGTATGGATAAACTTTGATCCTACACGGCTTTCAATACAAAAAAATATATACAGCTGCTCAGGAGAAAAAAAAGAAAAGAAGAAAAAAAAGCTGTTTCAAATCCAACATACACTCATGTTTGGAAGCATCCAGCCTTAACTATTTCTGTAATTATGCACCTGAATACAATGCAATTATCCCTGGGTTTTTTAGTTTTTAAAAGGACAGTACTACACCATGTAGCATTCACTGTTCTTTCTTAGATACTTGTTCTATCAACATCTGAGATGGCTGTAAAAATGTATTTGGAAAACTGAAAATGTGAAAAACATAGCAGAAAGTCTTCTCAACCTATACTGTCGGTTTTAGGCTCTTTGAAACGAGAGAACAAGATTAACCGTCTATGGGGTCAGGACATCTATTGATCACTATCATATTCTGTCATAGAACAAAATTTTAATTCTATTTTTAACATCTTACTTTCACAACTTACAGAGATGGCCCTGGGTCAGCAAACCAACACCCTGCAGTGTCTACTGTACCAGCTCTTGCGTTTATGGAACAGGCTTCAGAAGACAGGAACCTTGATCCCACACCTTTGAAGTCACCCAACCACCGTAAACCACCTCGCCTCCACTCCCAGGCAACAAAACGAGCAGCCCGAGGCATCCGGGCAGCAGCCCCGCAGTCACCTACGTGGCCACGCAGACGTGTACAGAGCCACCTACACGGGCCGGGCTGTAAGACCGGCCTGACAAGGCACCATCGCCCAGGCAGTCTGGAACTTCTCCAGGGCCACGGTCCTGCCCCTGCGCCAAGGCGCAGCAGGCGACCGGTGCTCCACAGCCTCCAAGCCCCAAGCGGGTGTCCCACTGCCCGGGGCGGGTGCACTGGGCAGACCCACCGGCGGAGTGGGATCTTGGCGGGCTGAGGGAAGTAAAGGCAGGAGAAAGAAAAATGCCGGCCCCTGGCTAGGCCGCCTGACAGGGGCTGGAAGGCGAGCGGAGGGGCTGGAGTGGGGGCTGCCCCCACCGCTTCACCAGTTAACGGGGAGATGTGGGTCAGTTATATTTATTTTATCGCCTGCAAGGGGGGGGTGGGTGGATGGAGGCTAGACATGAGCGCAGACCACAGTGGAGATGCGGGGCCCGCCGCCGGGCCAAGGGGGACACGCTCCCCCAGGCGACCCCCCCCGGGGGGGGCCTCCAGCTCCCAGCGGGCGCCGCGGCCGCGCCAGCCGAGCCCCCCGG